AATTACACGTAATATCTTTTTTTGCAATTTATAAATTATTTATACATTAAACTTTAAATTTTTTCTTCTAATTTTTTTCTCAGTAAATGTATCAATTAAATCATCACAATTTAAAGTCGACAGTAAATTCGCTTTGATATTTAATATAGCCAAACTATTGAATTTTTCATTACCCATAGTCGATCTTAAATAATTTTTAATTTGTTTAAGACATGAAAAAGAACGTTCAGTACATGGGCGTAGCTATTTTTTTTTAAAGGATTTTAATCAGAGAATTAGTTGATAACCTTATTTTTTTTTTTGCTTCTTCGATTTTATAGTAAAACTACTACTTTTAGTATAAGAAATAGAATTTAGTGTGAAGCGCAGGGGGGGGGGGCACTTGCTACATATATACTAGGATACACGTCTGTAAGAGAATCTTCTCATAATAATTCACACATCTGTAGAGAAGAAACGCTATTCATTTGTTCATTTGAAGATTCCAAATAACGTTTAAAATACTTTCTCAATATCATTTGAGTAATATTCGTGTACGTATCAATATATAATAATATAATTCAGTTACTTTAATAGTGTGTTGTATGTATCTATATTAGTAATATACTAATATAAGCAGTGGTAATTAAGTTTAAACATTTAAAGTGTTTAGATGATACCTAACAAAAGGCTGCGAGGCTTTATATACTGAACGATTAACTTCTTTTTAAATGTTAACCTATGAAATATGTAAGTTTATACACTGTTATTTTCTATTTAAGTATTCATGATAAATTTGATTTACTTCTGGTGGCTTTAGTATTAATACATTTTAGATTAATTCTATTAAGCTCAATTGACCGTTCAATTTTAAAATGCGTACAAGATGGTTTCGTTATTTGTTAAATATGCAAGAGCATAATATTTTCCATGCGATATATCTAATACTATATACCTACCGTTAAACTAATCATATGTAGCTTATTTGTTTTAAGGGAATTCATGTTTTCAAGGATTTTTATTACAAAGCGCTTTCGTCAAAATTATTGATGATATCATATACTTAACCTACGTTTTTCAAAATAAATTAAATACCTACATACCTATATAACATTTAAAAACCACAATTGTGCCTTTCATTATTATTGCTCTTGATTAGTCTTTTCCATGTCGACCACATTCTACTGACTGCTTTCTTCTCATTCCTTTAGCATAATACCTACTGCACAACAAGTTCATGGTCTGTTATATTCCCCAACTCATATTCTTCCATTGTCCCAAATTATTACCATAACGTGTCTTGTATTTGTATCTTTTAAAATGTTCTATCATCTCCCTTTAGTATTCGAAATATATTCTCCACCTCACAGGTGACAGACTGCAACAAGCAAACATTACTTAACGCATGGATCATATTAAATCATTATTACAGGCTATTTATATTTGATTTTTGTTGTGTACAATATAAATTGTTGAACATTTAGTGCGAATTCCAACAGGCGAAAACAAGTACAATAATAAGTAGGAAGGTATTTATAAAAAAAGTTTAGATATATAATTTAATATTAAATAAATTAGGTACCAAATATAAAAAAATTTTAAAATATTTGAAACAAAAATAGATATGATAATATTAACATATATTATTTATAAGTACCTATTATTTCCTATACCTAATCAATTAGATAGGTATTTTGGTATTTTTGTACGTGTTATTTTTATACATTATAATAGGCAAGTAATAACAATTGTTTGACTAAGTAGGTAGGTAACGATTTTTCTTAAGTAAATATTCTAAACCTGTACATAGTATTTTAATAGTTATTCGTTGATAAAAAATTATGTTTTATCGCTAGCAACTTAACAATAGGTCTTTTAGGTTGTTTAGTGTCGAGTTAATGGAAAGGCGTAGGTATAAGTACATCATTATTGTAGTAATCTATAAATATCAATAATATCATACTCGAAATACATTTAAATTTAAAAATATTGGTGTTTTAGAATTAAAACTAGTAAAACATGAAATTTATAATCGATAGAAAGAGTTATCATGAATTCAAAATTTTGCATTAGGTATATATTTTAAACCGTTAGTCTTAACATTTACCTATAGAACATTGATTATAGACTATTACTAGGTACTCTATGTTTATTATCCGCCAATATTTCTTAATACAGATCAAAGTGGAAGTAAAAAATATTTTTTTAACTTCGAATTAATTCGCCTTATGCGTGTAAAAATTTAGTTTTTAATAGTCTAAATTCTATACTGTAGATATCAGCAATAGGCTTTGAATATTTGTTCTTAAACTATAGTTTTTAACTAGGCATTTATAACACTTTAAAATTAATTACCATGAAAAAAAGTACCATCTGTCATCTACATAGGTACTGAATAATACACCAAAATTGGTAACATACAATTTTAGATTTGAGAGTAAAATGATAGTTAGCCAATACATAAGTGGTGCCTAAATGCCTTGTACAAAACTTAACTGTGAGTTTTGGACACATCTATTCACTGTAATTTAGATGGAATTCAGTACAAGATATTAATTGAGTTACTGTTAGAATTTCCGAATTAAATGGTTGTTAATTAAATCTACCACTATAACATATTGTATTTTTTTAAATAAGTTTCGATATTGGCTTTCTATGCTTGCTCAGTAACAATAACTGTAAATGTAATTTATTTTATATCTAACAATAGTAACAAAAACATTGATTTCTTACATTAAAGTATACATTTTTCATCTGTAAAATTAATAATTACAAAATTAAATTAGATATTAACTGATTAAAGAACGCTAGAAATAGACATTTATCTAGAAAATTGCATTTTAACCAGGATAGTAGGCCACTGAGTAACACTTAACAATATTAACGTTAAGCAGTTACAATTGTTAAAGAATTATATTATACACTATTTCATTGAAATAATAAGAAAAATTATATTCAATAATTATTTATCATATAACACAGGACAGTTGACAAGAGAATATAGATAGCTTTAAATTAAAATGTTTGTTATATATATATTTAAATTTAAACAACAAGTATAACATAGTTAACAAATTACTATCCTTAATATTACAACACTGTTTTAATTTCAATTATTTTTAAAATAAATACATTTTTTTTTCACCATGAACATTTATATAATATAAAAACTATTAAGATACTTAATAAAGGAACTCGCTAGTTACACCAACTTAAATATGTTTTAATATATCTATTAGAAACCTCCAGTAAAATATGTTCTAATTAGGTAAACACATTATTAGTAATTAATGGGTAGTTATTTACTGAATGCCTTATTATTTAAAATTTTCCTACAAAAAAAAAAAAAAAAAAAACAAAAAAAACAAAAAAGGGAACCAATTGTTTATCAACATACACATATTAAGATAATCTAATAAAGCATTTAAGCGATAAATTACATAACAGTGCTCTCAAACGTAACATTTAATTAAACCAACATTTCATAAATACCTTAATTCATTCACTCAGCCTTATAATAATTAATAATTATAATGATAATAATAATAATAATAATAATAATAATTTATTATTATATGAATATTTATGTATAGCTATTTGTATGTTATATATTTTTTGTTTTTTTAATATTTTTGCACAAAAATATAAATTATTTTTATAACACATAAATAAACTTTTCACCCAAAACAGCAAGTGATACATATATAAACTATTCACATAATATTATTTTTATATATCGAATAAATTACTAAATAAAATCATAATAATTAGTATAATTAATAATAAATAGTAATGTAATCTAAAAAAAACTCACAATCGTCTTATTATCATAGTATAACATTAAACATACCAATTTTCTTTAGGTTTTTAAGAAATGAGGTTAATGACATTTTAATAAATAAGGTAGGTAACTTGAATGTTTAATTAACAAACGTACTATTTGTTTTTGGTTAAAAATACAAAAAAACAATCTGAAAACACATTATGTTTTTCAGTGTGGTAAAAATGTGGTAAATTGAAGGTTTAACAGGAAACATTAATAACAAAGTTTATTTTATGGTTACACAATAGAAAGAGAAACAACAAAATCAATAATAATATAACATAATCCCATAAAGTTTACTAAAAAGTTCTAAAAAGGAAAAAATTGGACGGTTGTATAATTTGCCATCATAAATAAAATCAAAAACACATTTTGGAAATTTTCTGCCTGACCAAGCCTACTTACTAAATACTTTTAAAAGCAACAAAAAACATAAAGTTAAAAAATTATACTTCTCTAATTTGAATATTTAATTACCATCACATGTGTTATTGTTATGACAAACACATGTGGTTTAATAATTTTATAATTAATGGCTTGAAAAAAAAATAATTAAAACAATAATTACTGATAAGTACAATTTCCAAAAATGAATAATGTTTTTAAAAGGGCATATTTTTGCTATCACAATATAAATAAATTACATCACAAAAGATAGACAAGATAAAAATTATAAATGTTCACAAATTGTCCAGAGTGAAATCCATACATTATTAAAAAATATCATAATATAATATATATTAGAAAATCATATTACAATTTATTGTATAGATTTGAAAATATAAATATTTGAGCTGAAACAAGTTGTTAAAAAATTATTTAATAAATTTAAACAACAGTGCACAAGAGTAATAATTTATTCAGTTCAAAAGAGAAATGTTTTCAAATAACTTTAATTTAGATGTTCTAACAATAATTTAATCAGTTAACAATGTAAACCTGTGAATTAGTTAATTTGACAATATTATCTAAACACTTAAAACAATTTTAGGAATAGTGGCAAACAATATAAATAATATATTTATCATAGATAGTATAACAGATTATTTTATACATGGAAGATAAAATTTCGACAAATTATTTTAATATATGAGGCAATGGATTCTATGATTGAATCTATTTGAATATGACCAAACAAAAAGTATTGAATCAAATTTATGAATTATTACGGGAAATAATATAAAAATATTTTTAATGAAAAGTTGTATTAATTTTTTTCATCTATTATTCGATAGTATTTTGGTATAATATAGTTGATTTAAAAGCTTTGATATTAGTTTAAGTTTATTGTCTGCCAACAGGTATTATCTAAATTATTTAACAAGAAATTCTATGTACAGAATAATTAAACATAAGTAATATGTATTACAAATATATTTAATGCATTATAACATTCAATTTTCTAGACTAGAAATTATCAATTTGAGTTGGTAAAGTCTGTGTATTAATAGTAGAAGGATTAGGGAACATGTTAATAGGTTGATCTGCTAAAGACATGGTTGGTTCTTTGTTGATGACATCCTTATATTCATCAATAGATTCATTAACTACGGTAGTTATTTCTTCATCATCATCTAAAATTTTTAAAGCTACAACCAAATCTTGTAAGATTTCAGTTTCACGTAGCTCAATTAATTGATACCGATGATTAAATACTGACAGGTGAGCAAACACACAGTTTAAATGTGTATGCAAATTTAGTAGTACTAATTCACGAAAGTGACTATGATATAAATGTGCTAAAACGTGAAACAACAATCTCAAAATTTTTTTTACTACAATCTCAAAGCCAACAGGAAATTCATTAGCTGTAACAAAAACCATAGGTTATGTATAAGTGAATTTACAAATCTAAAAAATGTATTATAAAAAAACATTATGTACCATATTTAGTTGGAAAGATTGTCTCATCATTAATAGTTTTTTGGACAAACGTCATAACATAGTCTATATATAATGGAGCAGCCACTCGAGATTTTTTTCCTTTTTCGTCAAACCACAAATAGGTTCTAACATAAACAAAATTAAAGATTAAAATACATTATTAAACAGAAATATTTAAGTAAAATTTTAACTAAGACACATGAGAAAACATCCAAGTGTTATAATTTTTTTTTTTAACCTACACAATTAAAAATTATTTTTAATAAAAATTAAAAAATTCATAAAATACCTATAGTTTGGTCCGACCATATCAGGACATCCCGAAATAGTACAGAATTCTGACACAGTTCCATAAATCAAGTTGGTGTTGTCAAAAATTGAAATTGCTAGAACAAATAAAATTAGAAATTAAAATAAGTAATAGATTTTGGTAAAATATATAACTACTTACTATGAGAAGCGAGCCATTCATTAAAATCTATTCCATTAGGCATTTCAACCAATATCCTAAGATCAATGTCAGGTAACTTTTTTTCCAATACAGCTTCTTCCAAATATAACTTATTATCATCATTACATAGTGATTCTTTGTCTTTGGCCTTTCGACCTTTCCTATAAACAAAAAAATATATTTAATAGAATTTAAATATTTATCTATATAATGCTTGACATTTTTAATAAAATGCATTATTATCAATAAATAAATTTGAGTTAAATCTAAAATAATTCTCTACTATTATTCAAGGAATTTTATAAAATTTTTGATTTTACTATAATGTGTATTGGCTAAAAAATAAATATAATATAAAATTAATTTGAATGAATGGTAGACTAATATAATTATTAATATAATCTAGATAGAGTTGATACAACGAATAGAGGAACAAATCTTAATATATTCTTTTATAATATTAATTTTAGTACATTACTAATCAGTATATACATTTATGAAAAGGTCTAAAACATAATAGTCTCAGTACCAAAAATACTTCATATGTTTACGGATTTTTAATTTAATTTTTGTCTAAACTACCATTTTTATTATTTCTAAACCCACCCATAAACATAGTTAATATAATACAAAATTTAAGTAAACAAAGTCAAGATTAATCTTATAATTATTTTATGTGAGTTACTAATTCCAAATCAGAAAATAACAATTCAAATCATATTAAATTCTCACTATTTATTAAATTTTATCAGGTAAAATATTTATACCAACAATACCCATAGTCATAATTTTTATTATATACTCTAATTTTTAACTATAATAGATACATGTTTATACAGGAAGTATAATTCGGTAAAAAACAAAATAAATAAACTTTGTACGAATAATTTAAAGAAAAATATTTTACTATTTATAACTTACATATAAATGTATGTTAAATACATTTTTTCATTATTTTAGAAGATTTAAATATTACTATTGTTGGCATATTTGGTAAAATAATATATTTGCACCTAGCACAAATTCCTGAAGGAGTAAGTGCCCCCTCCCTCCACAATTATGCCACTGTATACATAGATAAAAGAAAAAAAACAAATTTAAATTAAGATAATATAAATAAATAGGTATTATTGATAATTAAACATAAAATAATTTAACCTTAAAATATAATATATTGGTATTATAATAATTATTTATATTCTTAATTTTAAAAACTACAATATTTTTGTTTTATGCACCAGTATTCATATTATAATTTACAACACTATATCTACAATACTATTGAAGACAGGTTCACTACAAAGTTTCAAAAAAAAAAAAAAAAAAATTAATATAAAGTATTAAAATACAGTTTTTATAAATTTATATGTTATGAAAAATTTGGAATATTTGTGGTAAAATAATATATATGTACATTGACCAAGAAATTAATTAAGAAAATATGGACCATGAATAAATATAAATTATTTTTTATATGATTTATTGCTATTAATAATTAAATAATATTAGTGAAAATAAAACAAAAACGAATATGTGTACATCATTAATTATATTTTGAACAAAATTAGAATAATGATAATAATTATTTACCTCATATTGATTAGACAAATTGGTTTTATTGGTTTTTAAATTTTATAAAATATGTTTCATTTTAAAATGTTGCTTAAATTATCTTATTCCTTCAATTAATAAAATGTAGACCACGACTAACTTATAACCCAATTTGACTTCTTTAAGGATGACTCAATCAGGTTAAAGCATTTAATTTAAATTAAACTGATATAAGATACATTTGTTAATTTATCATTATATTCATAGTTAATAAGTACAGTGAAAACTGTGTAATGCAGACCCTGAATAAAACTAAAGACTATCTAACACAGAATTTTTCTATGGTCCTGGCATGTTTCTCTAGTTATATATAGACATTGAACCTTCCTAGTACAGAAACGGAACGTTTTTGTAGGTACAATGTAAGTAAGAACCTTGCATAAGCCGAAAATATGGGAGACACCGTTTTCGGTAAGTACACTATTTTGGTTACAAATGAAATATTATTCATGGTTTTTTTCTGTTAAATTGCCAATTTATTAATAACAATCATATAATATTATTAATTTACAATTTATTTATTGAATTAAATAAAAATTTATTCAATGAATAAATTGTAAATTAATATTATGATTGTTATTAATAAATTGGCAATTTAACAGAAAAAAAAAAAAAAAAACGTGAAAAATATTACATTGGTAACCAAAAGTGTACAGGTCAAAAACGGACATTTCAGAATAGTTGAAAAGTATCCTGCCTAGAAACATGACATGCGTCATATTGATATGAATATTTAGGTATATTTTAAAATGATTACTGAGATAAAACTGCACTATATATATTAGTTGGGTAATTTATATTTTTTGGTTATTGTATCCGCGATACAAACTTATCCTGTATATATAATGTATAACTGTGAAACAGTTATGCAACAATAGTTTTATACTGAACAGTTTGCTTGTACATACCAAGTGATGTCCATCTAAATACATATAATATTGGAAAAATAGCAACAACAGTGACAAAACAAAAACTCTACATGATTTTTGGAAAAGCTAAATGTTTAAATTTAATTTCCAACCTTCATACTTATGTAACATGTATAAATTGTTAATAATTTTGTAAACAAATAAGTCTATAATTAATCTAAAATAAGTTATAAAGAGTAATAAATTAAGTTTATAATTAGTCTCTAACTCGAAAAATAAAAATTATAAATATTGTAAACCAATTTTTTTATGTGAAAAACTGATACAAATTTATAATCTGGAATTTTTCTGTTTTATTCAAAAGAGCGGAAAACTGCTTGAAGTAAAAATTTTGATTGGTTCTATGCTATTTTGCATAGACAGTTTTCGCTGTATTATGTATTATGTATTCTGTACTAAGCCCAATAGGGCGTAAATATTATCAATAAATAATAATAACAATATATTGACCCAAAATTAACAATAAAGAAGAATTTGAGAAAAAGACAAACCAAAAATTTAAAAACCTGTAAGAAGGAGCAAATATAAATTGAGTTTTAAAAAGTAATAGATTGAGCTGGGCTGGACACATGCCAAGATTAGTGGGAATAATTGGACAGGTTAAAAATTGAAAACAAAATAGGAAGGTCATCCCAGATAAAAATGGAAGGATAGAGTGATCAAAGACTTAAAAGAGCTCGTAATAGAGAATGAAAAAGAACAGGAAAAAAGAGACTGTTGGAGGCAAGTGATTTTTACAGCAATGAGCTTAAATAACATGTAAAATAATGCAAGAAAAAAGAAGAAATAATTATTTTTTGTAAGATAATATAATATGTAGATATAATGCTTTAACTAAAAATGTTGGTTAATAATATCACTGTATTTTATATACTTTATTTCTAATTTAAAATTAACCATAAATAACAAATTACTATTGACAAGTTATAACTACTTATTACAATGCAACTATTATTATTATGAACAATACTAAATCCACAGAATTTATATAAAATACTACCGATCGAATTGTCAGTTTAAAATAAAATGATGATTGAAATTTGGTGCAACTAACTTTCAAAGTATTAAATTCATTACAATTACATAAATTATTAATAATTATTATGTGATCTATCATCAAAATATTACAAAAGTAAAAGCCTGTCAACAGTGACCATGAATTATTTTTTCGAATAATTGATCAATTATTTATTTAGAAACTGTTAAACGATGGGTATAGAAACAAAAATATTTAGAATAAAAACCATAAATATAAGCTTTGTGGCCATTTGGTAATAAGTAATTTCAATAAAAAGATAATTGGTAAATCATATAAGTAATTCACAAGAACATTGTATTTTTTAAATTTGACTTAAGTACTTAAGTACAGTAGAACCTCGATTATCCGGGGTAATGATGGGGAGAGGGTCACACGGATAAATGAAAATCACGGTTAATCGAGACTTTTTATAATAATGAAATTTTAAAAATGTTGATTCAATTGTAATTAGAAATATACATAAGAAGACGTATACATACAATAATGTTATACATACGTCCTACATCCATAATATTGTATACCTACAACAAGTTATTAGGGCTTAAAATATGAAGTTATCGTCAAAAATGTCATTAATACGATTGTCGATATCGAGTATTATGTTTAAAAATGTTCGGAAGAATGGGCACGGTTAATCGCAAACACGGATAATCGAGTCACGGATAATCGAGGTTCTACTGTACATACAAAATTTCTTATTACAATGTAACGAGTAATTTTTTAAAAATATTTATTGTATAGTATTATATTTAATACAGTAATATATTTTGAGTTGATGTTAAATTTGAGTGTTATATGCTATTGAACAATTTCAAATAAACTATTCTGAATGAAAATTACAAAAAAATTGACATTACTCAATCGAACTGATCCTTAGAGAATGTTAAGAAAATTAATAAATAGCCATTGTAAAATACTATTAATATTAAACATCTAAAAATTAATTCATGAATTCATAAATATAAATATTAGTAAGCATTTTTTTTGAAGGATAGCTTATAAAATGCATAATATATTTTTTGGTTGTAAATTTATAAATATTGATCCTAATTATAAAGAGGAAAAATAAGTAATAATAAATAGCAAGGAAGAAATAATATTTATAGCATCCAGATTACTGTTATTTTATTGCAAATAAAAAAAAAAATTTATCTTAGAATAATTTTATTACATTAACAGCTAAGTTTTTACTTAAAAAATTTGATGGTTTTATTAATTTGATTGTTATTTTATTAAGAACTTACATTATTCACGTCCAAAAAAGTAAACAAACTATGTATATGTAGAATATTGCAATATACATTTTTTTTAACACAATTAATAAATAAAACATTATAAAAACCTATGTACTAGATAATAATATAATATTCTTGGTTTTAAGTTTGATAATGAAGTAGTATTATTAATGTTGTATGTTACATAAATCCCATTAAACTAAAACATTCTAGGTAGGTCTGAGGTCAGCTTATCTAAGAATCAGTCATTCAATTTTGCCTTGAATTATAACGAAACAAACTCAACAATGAATTTATTATAGAAGTTTAAATTAACAGGAAATTGTAGTCAAGCGATTGATAATAAAATACCTAGTGAATACTAGCAGTGTAACAAAAATAATTGTATAATAGTTAAGATAATAAGAAAATAAAATTAAAATAATATTAATTAAGAAGTAAGAGAACAATTTAAATGTTCTACATAAATCAAAATAATTTATTAATTATTAGTAGGTACCAAGAGAAAGTTTAATAAAGTAATTTAATAGTATGGCATTTTAGAAGATTATTTAATCTACTTTTGTAGTATAAGAAAATTTTAAACTTAATAAAATAAACAAATCTGATAATACTTTAATGATCAGTATTTATAAAATTAAAAATATAAATTTAATTGTATAATCCTAATAACTTAAAATTATTAAATTTTTAACTTAACATGAAATATATTAATTATTCATACTTTTAATTCAACCCATTATTTATTAAAAACCAACACATTTAATACATAAATAATGAGTTACTTTATGTAAACTAGTGAAAAGCTAAAGCTGTTAAAAAATATTTTTACTAGGTATATTTATTAAATATGACACCTAAATTGTGTAGAAATTATTAAATTGATACTATTATATATACTATACATAATAATTATAGTAGGTATTATTGCTGAATAATATTTTGACTAATTCATTACCAGGATTATAATTATACAAACCAAATTTCAGAATCAATTTATTTTATCTAAATTTAGAATCAAATCCACTAATTTTTCTAAAATTTATATATTAGAGGTAAAATGTAGAAACCAGAAAAGTTCTAAATTAGTTTTTTTAGCATCAGGAATTTGATACTGAACAGGAAAAGTTGAAAATGTTTAATCAAAGAACTGTAACGCATACGTACAGTGCAAGTATGAACATTAAACTTATATAAATGTACCATACACACATATCAAATAAAAATATGTTACCTAATTTATATTAATATAACTCTCTGTTAGCACCCTATATCGATATCTTAAAAATAAAAATAACTAATAATCATATTATAATCAGTGTATAACACAGTGCAATACGATCGATTCAATGGCGATTAATGGTAATATCCAGAATAAAAAAAAAAAAAAAAAATGGATCTACTCGAGTTCGCCGCTCAACACTGGACCGGGTGCGCGACGAGTTGAGCGATCTTGCGACGGACTTACTGCGAAGAGCAGTGCCATCCGATGGGTTTGAGCCCGCGGTTCGAGGAGCGGATGGCGGACAGACTTACCCCATAAACCAGTCCACGGTGTCGCGGAGATACTCGGGTAGCTTGTCCAGTTTGTCGGATTGTCTACGCGTCCACCATTCGAGTATTGACGGGCGGAATGCCGCGCTAACACCACCGCGGTGTTGTCGATCGGACGTCCGGAGACGGTCGTCAGGTGTCCATGTCCGGCGTTGAACGACAGACGCGGGCACGAGTCGCGGTGTTTTTGATGCGGCGTATTTATTATTGCGACGACGACAGCGGCTGCAGCGGCAGCGGCGGCGGCAGCAGCAGCAGCGACGACGGCAGCGGCAGCGGCGGCGGCGGCGGCGATCGTATGGCGACGTCGGCGGCGGCGATATTGTACGACCAAAATATTGTGTTCATCGCAATCAATTCAATCGGTGCCGAAACGACGACGGAATAAACCGACATTTATGAACAAAACGAAAAGTACACATAGACATTCGTTAGCTGAGTTTGACGACGGCGGTAAAATGTAATTACTGCAGTTGTTGTTGTTGTCGTCGTCGTCGTCGTTGTTGTAGCGGTCGTAAGTTTTGACTCGGAAAAAAAATAATAACAAGCTGGAGGGAACGACGTAAAAAACTTCTTATCATTGCGTAATTCTTGTGATAAGCGTCGAGCGCACGCTGCCGTCACTACTATTGCAATCGTTACAGTAGTCGTACCGTGTAGGTGCACTACGGCTACTCAGTATTGGCTACAGCTGCTGCTGCGAGCTGTGTGCGCTCGATGACGCTGATGACGATATAAAGTCGATAATAATAACGTAAAATACGACCGACGAGGAATTAACAATATTATTTTTGGGGTGCACTGTCCCGCCGTGTGACGTGCGGTTATATAATAACGTTATGCGGTACGCGAGCAGCTGGGCTGGCCGATACGGCCACCGCGAATTATAATATTAATAATAAATTAAATTTTATGTCTTATCCTCAGAGGTATAAATATACATTGCTGCTATGTATGACGTCTGTTTGTGGTACACCTACGACGAAACGTTGTGACAGTGACACACTCGGCGATGATTGTTATTTCGTTTTCCGTCTTGGCGGAGCAGGTGTAAGTGGATGGCTCGACGTCGACGGCGGCGCGCTACGGCTTCTGTTGTGGTTTCCGGGGGGGGGGGGGGGGGGTGGAGGGGCACTCGCGCCCACGCCGGATAATATTATGCACCAAACCGATCGAAATAATTACGAAATGTCGATAACAATACCCGAATAACATTCGAGGCTGAGAATTTTCGTAGTTTGACGACACCAATGGCTGATGCGTTTGCACAATAATAATATGTCAATATGTGTACCTGTGTAGCGACTCGGGTAAAATTAAGCGAGTTCCGTCATAACTACTCGTAACGTATTTTACGTTATTACTTACCTACTACCTACCTATACCGACTATACTACCTACTACTTATTATAATATATCACAGATGACAGACGTCAGACACCAACATGTTATATTCTAAAAAGCACTGGTACGAGAAATTTTTGAAAAAAAAACACATATTTTTGCTTTTTTTCGTATTCCAGAGTTTGAACATATTATTTTCTTTAAAATTCTCATTCTTTGCACTATTCTGTATATCATTTATCAATGTTTAATAGATCATACCATCAAGGTTGTCAAAAATTAAATTACTTACAAGTTATTCACTCATAAGAGTTGTATTTTAGAATTTATATTAAATTATATAATAAATAAATAAAAGCTATGTATTTAATTATAAAAAAAAAAATCATAAATTTTCTTTAATATATTTAAATATTTATTAAACAAATTAGTATTGCCTATAATTTTTCTAATTTTCGTATATTTTTACATAGTTTCCCAATTTCCAGTGTACAAATTTTCGACGTTCTTGTCAAATAGTCTTTTTAGTGCATTCACACCTCTAATAAATTATTAATGATAATAATTAGAGCCAAAAATTATATGCATTTGCATATTTTTATTAGTTGGTCCAAAAAATAGCTAATTTATACTAAAATTTGTTTCATAACCCAACGATGCTGTATACAAAATTTTATTTTGCATATTTTTGCATTTTTGCATTTTAAGAGCAATTTTTAGTATTTTGTTTATTTTTGCAACATATTTAGGATCTTAAAGACTCAGGAATCATAAAATATTAATTTGTTTCACTCATATAATATATTATATACTTTATTATGGCCTATGGGTAATTCAACTAATTTATAAAAATTTAATCTTAGTCACTAATCATTAGGGTCAACAAATATATGCCTGTATGCCATTATATTTTATCTTACCTATTGGCTATCGAAGTTGTCAGTCGTGGTTTTACACGTGTGGTGCGTTATTAAATCGATCGTTTTAAAATGCCGAAAGTGAAAACGTCTGACATTAGTCGTGTCAATATTTACATCTCTGAATTTGGAGAAAAAATATTTTCTTCGGATGGGAATATATTGTTTTGTAAAATATGCGAGGTAAAAGTTACACGAGAAAAACGATTTATAATACATTTTTTTGTTAATCATTGGCAATATAATTATTGTATTATAGAATACTGAATAATATATTAATATATAAAAAAATAAATCATTTAATTAAAAATATAGAATAACATTTTTTTTTAGAGCATATTTTAAAGGCATATTTTGATAACTTTTTAAGGCATAACTGCATGCATATTTTATAGATTTTTAGGGCATATAATTATTGGCCCTAATAATAATCAAATAATTAAGTAGATTATATAAGATACCTAAATAAGTATATATGCATAATTGACAAATATTAAAGTAATGTATAATATAATAGGACGTATATTACACTATTCTCTACTCCAGTACGCCCAGTTACATACTTGAAATTGCTGCAAATGTCAAATACAGATGTCAGTAATGGCGCACGTGCCACATTTGTTATTAAAATATATAGTGGTTTTATTTACACTATTCTTGTACACATGATCTAATCTTTACTTTACTCTGTAGTGTCGACGTGTTGTTGGTTATTGTTTTGACTACCTACTTTAATAATACAATGGATTGTAGGTATTGACATACCTACGGCTGTTGTATGTTGGTCTCGAGAACGGATCGAATATAAAAAGACCACCTGATATAATATTATTGTCGTACATAATATATGTTATGAATTATAATAGCCGTCAATCATCTTCATAATTTCCTCAGACTAAGTAATATAAATTATGTAAATTATAATACGTATCTTACTATATTAGTGTAATTAATATAGGTATTATGCTGACATTTTCTATTGCCCTATGGTTACACGCGCTTACTCGACTTTCATCATAGATTCATGCATAAAAATATAAAATACTTTTTGGTAAACGTGTCGTATGCTATCTACATTAATAAAGCTATCTACGCATTTTCCCATAGCAAGAACTTCATAAACCTACATACAAGTGCTCAAACACAAACAATTGAGTGTTTATGGTGATACGTAGGTAAAAGTAAAATGTAATATAAGATCGTGTGGAGCAACAAACCTACTCTAAAGGCCATTACAAGAACAATGGTGACGTTTAGTCCATCCTACCGATGTATTTGAAAGCTTTTTTGGAGACATTTAAGACATATTTGTATATAAGAATATTATAATTTCGATGACAACTGTAAAACTACAAGCTTCAGTAAAAATGTTTAGGTTAGTTAAAAATATACATTTTTTCGAGTAGATAGCATACGGCACAAGTACCTAATCATTTTTGTAATTTTTTATAATTGTGAAAAATTATAATACTATACCTACTCAGAATATTTATTTATAAATTATTATAGTTTATATTATATCTAAATGACTATAATATGTAATGTAACATTGTACCTAACTAAATGTAGATAATATGTAGTAAGCGTTAACAACTGTCAACTATACCTACTCAATTCTTTAAAGAGTTCATAACATTTTTAGAATACTACCTGTCTACCTATGATAAACTTGAATACTACGTACTATTATACATTTATACAAATAATTTTTTTTTATTATTATTTCAAATGTATCAATGTATGATTTAACCTGCTAGATTGCATACAATTATACAATATTTTTATTAGGTAATCGAAATTATCGAATATAGATATAACAATATAACCTAACTGCAAGCTGCAATGAATGCTCACGTAAGCAGTTTGACCTGACAATTTATCATTTTTAGTTTTAACTAATACTAAAGATAATAGTTATGCAAATTATTTAATTACATAAATAGTTCAATAATAAATTGTAACGAGGCTATTCATTTATACTTATTTAAGTAATAAAAGTAATTGGTTAATTGAATTTGTTTATAAACATATGCAATATGGTTTTATAATTTTTTATTTCTTTAATCTATAAAAGTTAAATCTCTATAAATACCTACAATTCTGTATAAATTGTTATCAGGTTGTGACATGAACTAATAAATATATAATTGTCCCTACGTATAAATATATTACATAATTTATTTTTAAACTAGGTATCTATGTAAGTATATCCTTAAAAAAATAAAATAACATATTAAATCAAAATATTAGGAATCATTTTGTTATTTTTATTTTTAAATTAATAAAACAAATTAAATTTCATCAAAAATATATTTTAAGTGTAAAATTTCTTGTTTTTCTCTGATTTTTTCCTGTTTATTTAAAAAATTATGTTTTTTAACTTTGACCAGATCAGTCAATAAATTGCTTGTTAAATATGTGATGTATTTTTTAATGCATATAGTGCGTGTGTAAATATGTTTTAAAATAGTCAAAATAAATATTAGTCGTTCATCAATATAATTTTTTATTATATTAATGATGAAATTTGAAATTATGTTGAAAAGTATTTAATTAAAAAATACAATTTTTTCAAAAAAATGTAACCTAAAACAATTGTATTTAAAAATGCAATCAATTTTTAATAATATTAAGGAGGTAGGTAAGTATTTAGGTAGTTTAATTTAAGAAATAAAATAAACATAAATTATGATAGAAATAATTCAGTTTTTAAACTCTTTATAAAGTAATAGATACTTATATTATTACATACTCGAAAATTATTAAATAATAAATTTAACTGATAGTAACTTTATAATGCAAAATATTTTTATGACATAAAGTATACAAAAAAAATATTAAACTATTAATAACATACTTTTTACTTTATAAAAGATATAATTTGATTGAAATTAAATAAAATCTTATCATGGTACAATTTATTATTTATTTTCGAATCAATATAAAGATAATAATATCGTTTTGGTAAAAATTTCGACAATAGGTACGTATATTATTTTATAAGGATTATTTTTTAAAAGTTTAAGCTTTTTTTATTCACAATTAGAAGCGAGATGAAAAATTAAAATTAAAAAAGTAGA